GACCAAATGATTGTCCTCAAAAAAGTGCGATGGAAGAATATACTGTCAAACTTTCAGCCTGTCGTCCAACACTTAGTAGCGACCTTTACCTTCACAGTGAGTCTGATCAGAGAGTACTGAGTGTCATCAGAACTCTGATGCAGGGACCCCTGAAAGACATTTCTTGTCTTTAAGGCACAGGCTGTTTTTGTTATCGTACAGAATATATTCTCCTGTTACAATATAACTGTTGAATTCACAGATACCAAAAGTAGGCACAGCATTATTATTTTTAAGTTAGAGATATTCCGTACGGAAACTCTGAGATTTAGAAGAATCCACAGATCACCACAGGAAACCAGCGGTGAAGCTCCAGCTGCAAGTGCTTCTGGGGCTGAGGGTCCTGAGTCCTGAGGGTCCTGAGCGTCTGTGGGTCCTGAGCGCCCCCTGGAGACCAGTGTCCTCCCTGCAGGGGAGGTTTGTGTCTGGGCTCTCACTGCTTTCCCTCACTGTGTCTCTTGCACAGTAATACGTGGCCGTGTCCTCGGGTTCAAGGCTGTTCATCTGAAGATAGAGTGTGTTCTTGGAGTTGTCTCTGGAGATGGTGAATCGGCCCTTTACGGAGTCTGTGTAGTATGTACTACCGCCAGTATTACTAATTTCTGCGACCCACTGCAAGCCCTTCCCTGGAAACTGGCGGATCCAGTACATCCAGTGGTCACTGAAGGTGAATCCAGAGGCTGCACAAGAGAGTCTCAGAGACTCTCCAGGCTTTCTCAAATCACCCCCAGACTCCACCAGCTGTATCTCACACTGGACACCTGCAAACACAGAGGCACAGTGATTAGTTGACACACATACAAACTGAGGCACTCACATTTACATACACACACAGCAGGGTCTACAAATGATTACCGTGTAAAATGGCCAAAATGAAAGCCAAAGTTGGTACCAAATTCATCATGTTTCCTGTGGACTAGCTCCTGGGCACAAATGGAAACAGCAGAGACCCCAGAGACTGGGATTCTCCTCTGAGATCTCCCACATCAGGGCCTGTGGCCAGTTTATCAGTGGGCAGAGAGCTGAATTTGCATGTCCCATGGTATTTAGAAGAAGAGGAGTAGAGAATACGGGCAAGAGTTCTCCCTCAGTCTCACAGAAACCCAACACTCTCAAAGGAGAACAGGGCTCTTAAACAGATTCTTTGTCAAGCATTGCTTTAATTGTTATATATTATCAGTATTTTTAGAAAATAGTTTTCAACTTATAAACTTTACATTCCATACACAACAACTTTGTGATATTGCAGCTCACAAGGCCTCCTCTCTTAAGGTGTGAATACACATGATGACAGTGGATGACTCTATTACCTATTTCTTGTATGGGAATATGATTGGTTTTCTTGTCTTCCAAAGAATTTCCATATTTATCTGATATTTTAAAACTGTGGACATGCAGTTGTTCATAAAACACGGACAGTGGTGTCTCCTCTCTGGTCTCTGATCACGAGATTCC